AGAGAGAGAGAGAGAGAGAGAGAGAGAGATTTTACCCCTGTGGGTTCCAATCTAACACTTTTCTTATTATAGCAGCTGCTTGGCTTCCTGAGAGTGTGTCCAATCCATCGCCAACGTCTTCTTCCCGCCTCATCTCTGACTGAGCTCTGTCTCGTTCTTCTTAATACTTCCTCGTTGATGATCCTGTCTGTTGAAAATTCTAAGCTGTGTTCGTAATGAGATATCCCTGGCCCCTCCAAATTCTGTTCAAATAAATAAATGCAGTCTGTACCTTTCCAATGCGGGACTTTATTTCAGCGCCTGTTCCTCCCTATCTCTGTCAATTATACTCCCAAGATAGCAGAGGGATTCAACGTCTTCTAGTGCATCTCCTTGTACTGTGACCTGCTCCTTTCGTAGTGCATCTATCCTTTGGACTTCCGACTTTCCGGGGGTGGATCCTCAATCCAACAGACTCTGATAGGCTGTTTAAAATTGTTGTCTTTGCTTGCATCTGTTCCTGAGTGTGTGACAGAAGCGCCAAGTCGGTACCGTACCGACAACACTATTGGGAGAATCCCCACCCCCACCCCACCCCGCCCTATTTCTTGATATTTTCTTGCAAACATGATATAATAGATTATGTGTTAATTCAACCTCATTTTAGGCCAACATGACTACCTCTTCTCTTCATCTCTTCTTTGTTTTAAGTGGAAGAACAGCAAATGCAGTGTATTTAACCAACTCACTGCCGGGAAAGCGCTTTACTTTTTTTGTATTCGTAAAACTTGACTGGCGGTCTTTATTGCCGACATATGGAAGGGTCAATAATGAGACATGTGATATTGTACTCTGCTCAAGTCGCCCACAGTCGACGAGCCGTAAGCTTAGTTCTCTTTCTCTTTTTTTTTTTTCTTCTTCTAATCAAGGAAAGAAAAAGATCCTTGTTTCCAATACAAATACAGAAAACATAAGTCTAGATCGAGATCTATATTCAATTAAAACAATTTTTTAAAACACACAAAAATTGCTTAGGCCTACTGTTGATCACTTTTCCTGGGTACGTTTTTTTTTCCTCGCACGAATATCATAATTATTTAACTTCCAATCCAAGGAAACTGTACTCTGACTCAGAGAAGAACCAGAGAGTATTTAATTATCCTAAACCTTGGCCACCGTACATTGAAAATTGTATCGTTATATATTGCAACAAGCATGAGATCCATAATTTTATGATTTCTTGAACCTGCCCTTCCAGTTTCCTTCCTTCCCAGTGTTTTGTTGTCTTTTGTGGCTTTCGTAGCAGCAGCACAAAAACGAAAGTAGATCTAGGCCACGGGCCAAAGCTCAGTCCAAAGTGCAGATTTACGAATCGAGACGTGTTATGATATTGAGAATGTTATATATAATACTCAGACTCAGGATGATGTCCACTAAGTCCACTGCAGTGATGCGGCTTGTTCCTGTTCGTACGTTGTCTAGCATGGCTAAGGAACCCAAGTAAATATAATATAATTCACCAGATTCTTGTCAGTTTAATTTTTCGTTTGTTTTCTTTCTTCATCCAAAAAAGGAATGAATGAGCATTGTAGGCCTACTAAGTTAGTTTAAAGCTAGATCTAGAATCTAGATCTAGGACTAGGGTAGACTTTGAATGAACTGCCAACTAAAACAGAGGCTTTGTTTTATCTAATCTCTAGATCTAGATCTATTGTTATCTTGTCAAGCAGCTAAATAATGAATTTAAGAAATAAATCCAAGAAGTAGAAGAGTTACTTTACTTACTTTAACAGAGTTACTAATCTAGATCTAGATCAAGTAGACTCCTCTATCTATAATTGATAATTATTTTGCATGACCACAGTTGAGTTTGTTATTTACAACGCAGTGGCAACGTTCACGGCGCCCTGAACGTAGCCTGCAGACTACGTTCACGGCGCCGTGAATGTAGTTTGCGGTAGATGTTGAGGCTACGTTCACGGCACCCAAGCTTCGTTTAGATGGACCGTCCACTGCCGGTTTAAGTCAGCCGGTTTTAGTCAAGAGGCTTAAAATTAAAAGACAAGACAACGCGATTTGGTTTGCGCAGCTTGGTGCAGCAAAGTTGGTTT